TTGCCGTCAATAAATTGAATTAAATCTCTCTTAAGGAGTAATGATTCTTCAGATGGGGCAACAGATAGATAATAACATCATGGCAATAGAACATTCAGTGATGATTCTTACACATTGAAACTTAACACCGTGACTAATTGGTCATTGCTACCTAGCCTTTTTAGCCCTATTGGTTACATTTCCTCATAAATATCTCACTCCTAGCTCACTCACTTTTAGAGAGTCTTTATTGTCAGAATGACCCATCGTTAAACTATACAATGAGGCACCCTCTTTGCTTAAGACTATGCAAACGACCATATGAGGCCAAAGGGCCCAATAAAAGAAGCCAAGTTCCCACGCAGTGACACTAAATACAAAAAACAATTTTCAACCAAGACTATCAATCTGGCTAACCCTTGCCAATCTTAGATCCCCATATTTTTCTCTGTTCCACCCAAGCTACAGCTTTCTCTTCATTATCTTATTTGTACCAATATTAAACACCTTATTTGTATAATGAAAAAACTTGCAGGAACAAGTCATTGGAAGCAGAAACTGAAAGGTAAGATGTTGGCAATGATGTGTAAGTTTGCTGCCATCTATGGGCTGATGACAACGTTCAGGACAAAAATGAACCTTAAGACCAGGCTCACCCACACTGTTAACATAGAAATCAGGTGTTTCCTGACAGTTAAGCATCCTGGGAATTATGGGAGAGCATCTGGTCAATATCATTTGGCTTCATTTCCCCCTACTTAATAGGTGAGATTTTTACTTGTAATGACATGAGTCAAAAAAAGAAAAAAAGGTATGAGTTAGAATGACCAGCTTAAAATATGTTAGGTTAGGCAACTCTCTTAACCAAATGTGTGTTTACTGTTAGTTGACCACTAGTTTTTTAAAGCAAGAATAGAAATTAAATATTAGTATAGATTTTTGTCAGTCATTTGAGATAAATGTAGAAATCATACATGATTTATCTGTTATCATTCCATATTCACTGTCCTGTAAAAAAATTCTCTTTACCTTTACATGCCATCTTTTTCTTCCTGTGCACTACTTCGTATTTATAACCACGGA